GTCTACATCCAGCACACAGAAACAATCCATATGTCTGAGGTGTTATCGGAAAATTAGTTAGTGGATTCAAATTAGGCGATGTGGGTTTATAGTTCCTGGGGTTTACGTCAGTGATTGTTTTTTGGTTCAAATTTCTTATTCTTTGATATATGGTCTTTTGTAAGAGGAGTGTTTTTGTGCAAATACTGATCTATGTGGTTGCTGATGTATATATCGTAGATCAATCGTTTATTAATGAAGATTGTGTATGTTAAGAAATAAACTGTACAGCAGGAATAATTTCATGCTTTCAGGGTTATTATATGCATTCGTGCTAAAAACTTACACAGCTATAGAACATAATTTTTCAAAGGATAATTGATATGGGGATATAGAAAATTGTTTGATAAAATGTTCATTGTTTTTGAATGCAAGTTTTTGTATAGCTTGTACTACAGCCAATAATTGAAATATGCGTTCTTTATCTGCTGTGGTGATTTGAGTTTCTACAATAAAAAAAAGAAATAACCAAGATATTCGTTTTATGTGAGAAAGATCATGCAAAATATTGAGATGTTTGGGAAAATTTGTAGCTCAGGTGGATGGTTCTGGTGGTGTTCGGTTCCCTGAGCTGGATGTTTTGTTTGTGGAGCTTTCATTGTTTTTCTGCTGAACAACATCATCAGCACAAACTTCAGATAGAGAAGTGAAGCATTCGAATTTCTACATGTTTCACCTGTAAATTGTTCGACCAACCTTTATTGTCATCACAACAAAAGGGGATACAATCAAAACAAAAGTGCAAACAACGACAGGTTTAAGGTCAGCAGCAACCAGTCAAGACCGAGAACAAGCTACGCGTCAAACGTGGAGAAATTGGAATCCTTCACTTTTATCCGAAGTTTGTGCTCATGATAATGTTGTTCAGAAGAAGAACAATGAAAGCTCCACAACCAAAACATCCAGCTCAGTGAACCAAACACCACAAACAGGAAAATAACTAGGGTGAATCACACTACTGGTTAGATTTATCAAGTAGTATATCGTAAGACAAATCAGATTACAGAGGAGGAAAAAATCTGGAAGTGGATAGGACACATATTGAGGGAACCAACTAACTGCGTCACAAGAAAACCCCTCATTTGGAAGCCTCAATGCCAACAGAAAAGAGGAAAGCCAAAGAACACATTACGCCGAGAAATGGAGACAGACATGAGGAGAATGAACACCAACTGCATAGAACTGGGAAAGAACGCCCAGGACAGAGTAGGTTGGAGAAAGCTAATCGGCGGCCTGTGTTCCACCAAGGGTCAGTCAGTCAGTCAGATGCAACGTAGAACTTCGTACGTAAGTAAATCAATTCATGTCGCCATCCCACATCAGCACACAGATGTAATTGTCAATTCAAATCCAATAGTAGTAGAAGAGGTAGTAAGGGTATTAGAAGTAATCGGAGAGGTTAGGATTAGAAGATATGTGATTCAAGAAGTATGATTCAGTGAGAAAAGTTTAGAAAGTCAAAACTAGAGGTGTTGAAGAATCCAGAAGATTAGGATTTGAGAGAACACAAAGAATAAATGCACCGGCGCCATTGCAAACGGTTCTAATCCATGTCATTCAGAGTCTCTAACCATCGATTATTATCATCTCGTGGACCCCATGCAGGTAGTCGAAAATTACCAAGACACAAGACACTAAAGAATTTGCGAGCAAAGTGGTAATCAATACCATGGACAAGTCTAAAAGATTATTATAGTCAGTTTCCAGTTGACTGTATTTTATGCGCACATAGTTTGCATATGCAATTTTTTTTTAGCTCTGATAAACGAAACAGCAAAAATAAAGTTTTGAGATGGTAGAGAAAACTTGTAGCTCAGGTGGATGATTGTGGTGGTGTTTCGTTCTCTGGGCTACAGGTCAAACGTGGAGAAATTCGAATGCTTCACTTCTATCTGAAGTTTGTTCTGATGATGTTGTTGTTCAGAAGAACAATGAAAGCTCCACAACCAAAACAACCAGCTCAGAGAATGAAACACCACCACAAAAATGAAGTTTAAACCAACGACATATATTGGAAAAATTAAAATGTGTAATTTAGAAAAAAAATCTGACCTGCATTGAATTCAGTAGGAGATTGTAATGTATTTACAAGTATGATTGTGGTATCAGCCAAAAGTTTCATAACATTCTCCACTGGTAATGGTCTATAGTGTGTGTGTGTATATATAAGGGGAAAGAGAGAAGGAGAGATAAAATTAAAAATTATTATTGAGCAGCATACACACACACAGATAAATGTGATCATTTGGAAGGAATTAAAACGCAATATCTTATCAATAAAAGCATTCAGTCCTATGTACATCAGTCTAAAGCGGTCATACCACATTAGATGATATGGTCAATTCAAATTGCATATTCAGTCAGTTAGTTACATCGTAGAACTCTGTACGTATGTACATCATTCCAGGTTGCCATACCACGTCCGTAAAGAGACGCACCTGTCAGTTCAAATCCAAGAGCGATAGCGATAGTAGAAGCATTAGCAGTAATGGACAAGATTAGGGTATAATTGAGTGAGATAAAGTTAGAAAGAGAAAGATAGAGATGATGAGGAATGCAGAAGGTTAGAACACAAAGAGTGGATGTACCTGCACCATTATCAAACGATGTTGATCCATGTCGTTCAAGGTCTCTAACCATTGGTGACTTTCGTCTCGCGGACCCCAACCAGATAACCTACATCTATCAACATGACTCAGTCCACTTGTCAGTGATTTCATGGATTTCTGTCATGTTTTGGTTTGGCGGCCATTAGCTATCTTCCAATCTACTCCTACACTGCAAAACATAGCTCGTCGTGGCAGTCGGTGGTTAGTCATACGTAACACATGTCCAAACCAACTCAACTGATGAAGTTTCAATACTTCATCTATCGATTTGATATCCCTACCTAGAAGACGTTTCCTAACGACATCGTTGCTTATACGGTTGTCCCACGATACACGAGCAATGCTTTGGGGACACCGTTGATCGAAGACTAGTAACCTACGAATGTCTTCTACTCTTACCGGTCATGCATCGCAGGGTGTAGCGAACTGCTGCACAGTACACTCGTCCTTTGGTTAATAGATGGATATCTCGCCGACACCATAAGTGACGAAAGTTGGCGAAAGCCAATTGAGCCTTCTGTATCCGAGCTGAGATTTCGTCAGTCACTAGGCCATCAGCATTGATGAGACTACCGAGATAAGTGAAGTGGTCGACACGCTCAACTACTTCACTCCCTATCACTAGTTCAGGTGCCGATGCAACCCAGTCTTGAAGCAACATTTTGCATTTCGAGGGGGAAAACCGCATCCCGAACATGCTTGTATTGTTGCTTAGGGTAGTCAGAAGACGCTGCATTTTGTCAGCGTCTTCACCAAGTAGGACTATGTCATCGGCATATTCTAAGTCAATAAGCGAGCCACCTGGTAGAAGGTCTACTCCTGAAAATTCAGACGAGGATAATGTTATGTCTAGGAGCATGTCTATGATAAAATTAAACAAGAATGGAGAGAGTGGACATCGCTGACGGACGCCACTTGAGGTAAAGAATTCCGGTGACAGTTCGCCATAAGCTCTCACTCGACCAGTGGTGTTCGAGTAAAGGGCTTGTATAAGGTTAATGTACTTCTTTGGTATACCTTTCAATGACAGACACTGCCACAGAACCTCACGATCCAAAGAGTCAAATGCCGCCTTAAGGTCCAGGAAAACAACTATTGTAGGACGCCTAAATTCGAATACTTCACTTCTACTATCTGAAGTTTGTGCTGATGATGTTGTTCAGCAGAAGAACAATGAAAGCTCCACAACCAAAACAACCAGCTCAGAGAACCGATCACCACTACAATATTAGCATACAAAAAGATGTTATTATCAATCTGAATTCCATTATACAAACAAAAACAGACGTAATACACCTACCTACCTAATCAATGATAAACAAAAGATTGGAATTGACAATGGAACTTGTGCATCTGCGTCACATCCACAACATTTTTTCTCCGCTAAACCGTTTGATTGCGTGAGTAATCGCAGCGGTGAAATAAACCAATCGATAATGTCACGTACATCCGTCCGTAACGCTACCGATTCATTGTACACAGAACCAATAATATAAGTGAAATCAATCGATAGACCATTGAAATCATTGATCATCATCATCATATCGGGTTCATTTAAAATTAATTGTTTCACTAAGCCAATACGAAATAACGAATCGAATATACAAAAAGCGGGAGATGACGAAGAAGAAGGAGATAAGGATGACGTGTCAGCGGAACGACTATGTTGAATATCCAGAAGTAGATAAACCAGATTGGGTGAAATGTCCTAAGAAGAAAAAAGGAATAATTGAAGGGAAAAAAAAACAGATCTATATACACTAGTGGAAATGAAATGCCGAAAATATCAAAAATGTAAACAAGACATGAACTATGTGTGACACGTAATAATAACCAACACACGATAAGCAGTCAAATCAAAAACACAAAAGCCGGACACAAGAACTAAAAATCAATAGACTAAATAATACCGAACTGTTAGGAACGATGTGACATCCCCCTAAACTCACTTGTATAACACGTCCTGCATTTGTAATTTTATTAAGAAATTTGGAATTTCTACATTTCCACGCCAAAGATACTGAAGCTGATTGTCCGCAAACATTTGTCAATCGGAAAATTCTTGATTGTTATTGGTTGACGGATTATTTAAGGAGGCAAATTTTGTGGCACCTACCAAGGGTGTTTCTATTATTGATTGGTGTGATTAGCCACCTTGTATTTTATGAGTGCTTGTACAATACATTCTCTAAGCTGTATTAATACTTCTTGAATTAGTTTAGGAAGACCTGTGCTGATCGGATTACAGCAGTCTGTCGTGTCAATAAGTCGTCGCGCTTTGATCCGCTTACCGAGTAGGTGAACTTCCAATAGTTAGAAGCAAACCAATTAAAGACGTGCAATTTCGGAAACATGGATCCTTCTGAACTTGAATAATAAGTTGAGTAGCAGATAAAATCAATGCAGGAGAGATTTCAAATTCCACAGAACAGGCATGACTAATCAAACCAAAGTAACATCAGTGAACAGGATCGCAAATGAAACTGTTGAGATTAAATGTGATCCGGATGTAAAACTAAAGTTTGACATGCACATACAAAACTGGAAAGAACAATTGAAGTGTGGTGCGAGCTACTTATAAGTAGTATATGACGTGAGCGTCAACGTAATGTCTAGCAGCAGAAGATTGGAGAAGATCGAGAAAGGGAGAGTTAGAAAACGATGGAATTTGTATCAAACGCATGAATAATGACAATGGATTGATCTTTTGCAACAGGAACAGCCCAGTTCGATAAAATGAACTGCTATTTTGCGAATTAACAAATTACGATATGGTTTTCCGATTTTACTGAGTAACTCTCTAATTTTTGTTAAATAAAATTCGGTTGCCCCACCTGTGTTCTCGTTTACTACACAACCAAATCCAACATTGAATAATAAGTCATCCCACAAATAAAATTGCGTGGCGCCGCCCTGTTCTCGGCCACTACAGAAGAATGATTTCTAAAATTCACCTAATATACGTGAAGTAAGACTACAAACATGGAAGATAGACAGAACCACGCATGAGCGAAACAATAATTATATCCACGCAACAGAAACGCCCAAACAAAAACATCTCCAACACCAAATCCGACAAACACAACTTCCACAACATTCGTACACAACAAAATCAATAAAAACACCACTCATCACCACACACAAAACAATCACAAACATATGACAATATATACACACATCAAAATCAAACTATATGTACTACAACGCACACACATTGCAATATCGTGTGGAAATAATCCCAACACTCACTCTCATATCGCATGTCAATTTAGCACACAGTTAACACTGCAAACGTGGACAAATAACCGAATGCAGCTGACTCTGATGTGCATTCCTCACAAACAACACACACATTATCAAAAATTCCACACGTCAAAACCCATCTGTTACACAACAACAACAACACAAACAAACATCCATCCACATCAACCGCTTCGCATCACCACTCAACTACTAACTCCACACAATCAATCAGGTATGTACCTAGATTGGTTCGCACACATGTCCAATAGACACAACATGTGTAGATCGATCAAGGCTCATCGATTTCGCCCCACAAAAACATCTCATCAACACCAAGTGTGATCATTCGATCATAGGGACAAACCACTCACTCACTACTCTAAACACATTCATCACTACCAACAACTCCTAAAAACACACAACTACCACAAACCTACTTACACTACTCACATACTACTAACAGCATATACACACATTACAATCAAACTGTACTACAACAGAAACACACACATGTTGCAATATCGTGTGGAAATAATCCCAACACTCACTCTCATATCGCATGTCAATTTAGCACACAGTTAACACTGCAAACGTGGACAAATAACCGAATGCAGCTGACTCTGATGTGCATTCCTCACAAACAACACACACATTATCAAAAATTCCACACGTCAAAACCCATCTGTTACACAACAACAACAACACAAACAAACATCCATCCACATCAACCGCTTCGCATCACTACTCAACTACTAACTCCACACAATCAATCAGGTATGTACCTAGATTGGTTCGCACACATGTCCAATAGACACAACATGTGTAGATCGATCAAGGCTCATCGATTTCGCCCCACAAAAACATCTCATCAACACCAAGTGTGATCATTCGATCATAGGGACAAACCACTCACTCACTACTCTAAACACATTCATCACTACCAACAACTCCTAAAAACACACAACTACCACAAACCTACTTACACTACTCACATACTACTAACAGCATATACACACATTACAATCAAACTGTACTACAACAGAAACACACACATGTTGCAATATCGTGTGGAAATAATCCCAACACTCACTCTCATATCGCATGTCAATTTAGCACACAGTTAACACTGCAAACGTGGACAAATAACCGAATGCAGCTGACTCTGATGTGCACTCCACACAAACAACACACACATTATCAACAAATCCACACGTCAAAACCTATCTGTTACACAACAACAACACAAACAAACATCCATCCACATCAACCGCTTCGCATCACTACTCAACTACTAACTCCACACAATCAATCAGGTATGTACCTAGATTGGTTCGCACACATGTCCAATAGACACAACATGTGTAGATCGATCAAGGCTCATCGATTTCGCCCCACAAAAACATCTGATCAACACCAAGTGTGATCATTCGATCATAGGGACAAACCACTCACTCACTACTCTAAACACATTCATCACTACCAACAACTCCTAAAAACACACAACTACCACAAACCTACTTACACTACTCACATACTACTAACAGCATATACACACATTACAATCAAACTATACTACAACAGAAACACACACATGTTGCAATATCGTGTGGAAATAATCCCAACACTCACTCTCATATCGCATGTCAATTTAGCACACAGTTAACACTGCAAACGTGGACAAATAACCGAATGCAGCTGACTCTGATGTGCACTCCACACAAACAACACACACATTATCAACAAATCCACACGTCAAAACCTATCTGTTACACAACAACAACACAAACAAACATCCATCCACATCAACCGCTTCGCATCACTACTCAACTACTAACTCCACACAATCAATCAGGTATGTACCTAGATTGGTTCGCACACATGTCCAATAGACACAACATGTGTAGATCGATCAAGGCTCATCGATTTCGCCCCACAAAAACATCTCATCAACACCAAGTGTGATCATTCGATCATAGGGACAAACCACTCACTCACTACTCTAAACACATTCATCACTACCAACAACTCCTAAAAACACACAACTACCACAAACCTACTTACACTACTCACATACTACTAACAGCATATACACACATTACAATCAAACTGTACTACAACAGAAACACACACATGTTGCAATATCGTGTGGAAATAATCCCAACACTCACTCTCATATCGCATGTCAATTTAGCACACAGTTAACACTGCAAACGTGGACAAATAACCGAATGCAGCTGACTCTGATGTGCATTCCTCACAAACAACACACACATTATCAACAAATCCACACGTCAAAACCCATCTGTTACACAACAACAACAACACAAACAAACATCCATCCACATCAACCGCTTCGCATCACTACTCAACTACTAACTCCACACAATCAATCATGTATGTACCTAGATTGGTTCGCACACATGTCCAATAGACACAACATGTGTAGATCGATCAAGGCTCATCGATTTCGCCCCACAAAAACATCTGATCAACACCAAGTGTGATCATTCGATCATAGGGACACACCACTCACTCACTACTCTAAACACATTCATCACTACCAACAACTCCTAAAAACACACAACTACCACAAACCTACTTACACTACTCACATACTACTAACAGCATATACACACATTACAATCAAACTGTACTACAACAGAAACACACACATGTTGCAATATCGTGTGGAAATAATCCCAACACTCACTCTCATATCGCATGTCAATTTAGCACACAGTTAACACTGCAAACGTGGACAAATAACCGAATGCAGCTGACTCTGATGTGCATTCCTCACAAACAACACACACATTATCAACAAATCCACACGTCAAAACCCATCTGTTACACAACAACAACAACACAAACAAACATCCATCCACTTCAACCGCTTCGCATCACTCAACTACTAACTCCACATAATCAATCAATCATGTATGTACCTAGATTGGTTCGCACACATGTCCACCAGACACAACATGTGTAGATCGATCAAGGCTCATCGATTTCGTCCCACAAAAACATCTGATCAACACCAAGTGTGATCATTCGATCATAGGGACACACCACTCACTCACTCACTACACTCAAACACATTCATCACTACCAACAACTCCTAAACACACACAACTACCACAAACCTACTTACACAACTCACATACTACTAACAGCATATACACACATTACAATCAAACTATACTACAACAGAAACACACACATGTTGCAATATCGTGTGGAAATAATCCCAACACTCACTCTCATATCGCATGTCAATTTAGCACACAGTTAACACTGCAAACGTGGACAAATAACCGAATGCAGCTGACTCTGATGTGCATTCCTCACAAACAACACACACATTATCAACAAATCCACACGTCAAAACCGATCTCTTACACAGCAACAACACAAACAAACATCCATCCACTTCAACCGCTTCGCATCACTCAACTACTAACTCCA